GCATGGTCAAGGTGTAATCTGCTCCAGGGTTTCTCTGGAAGCATCCATGGGTGAATTGCAGGTTTGGCTGGTCTGTTCTGATGCTGACCGCAAGGTATGCAGTGTCTGCATGTGGCCTCAATATCCTCATCGATGTTTGGCCAATAGACAGCCGTGCGAGCCAGTTGCTTCATTCGCTGCATTCCAAAGTGTCCTAGGTGAAGAAGTCCCAGAACGTTTCTTCTCATGCTTGCTGGAATCACCACTCTCGACCCATGGACTAAACAACCATTACATATGGACAGTAAAGTAGCAACCTGTCGGAATCTGTGCATTTCCGTTCCTTCATCGTTCTTCTTTGGTTGCCAGCCTTCTCGAATGAATCTCATTACCATTGAGATTATTGGATCCTTTGCTGACTCTCTTGCAAGAGATCCTTGTTCTGCTGGAGTGACTTTCTCGTCAATTGTCTGTATCTGGCAGACCATTACTGTGTCATCTACACTTTCCTGTAGAGGTAGACGACTGAGAGCGTCAGCATTAGCGTGATCCTTAGTCTTCCTGAATTCAATCTTGTAGTTGAATTGGCTTAACATTAGAGCCCAACGAGCCAGTCGGTTAGCAGCCATTAGAGGAACATCTTTTCCAGGCCCAAATAAGGCTAACAGTGGTCGATGATCTGTGACCAGTACAAACTTCCGTCCAAATAGGTACTGGTAGAACTTCTTCAATCCAAACACAATTGCCAGGGCTTCTTTTTGGATTTGGCTATAGTTCCTTTGACTTTCTGTGAGAGTTTTGGAGACATTGGCAATTGGGCGCTCGCTTCCATCTGCAAAACGATGAAATAATACGGCTCCAATTCCAACGTTTGAAGCGTCGCATGCCAGACCTAGGATGTGTTTCTCTTCAAAATGAACCAGGACATTCTCTGAAGAAAGCAAGTCTTTCAGACGTTGGAAAGACTTTTGGTGTTCTTGTTGCCATTTCCACTTGACCGTCTTCTTTGTCAGCTTGTACAAAGGCTCTGCTATTGTAGCTAGTTCTGATGGTAGGAATTTGGCATAGAACTGGACCGATCCTAGGAAAGCTTTAAGACTTGAAACGTTTGTAGGAGCTGTCATTTTAAGAACAGCATCTACCTTAGGACCTTTTGCGATTCCTTGTTGTGACAGTAGATGTCCCAAATACTCAACATATGGCTGGGCAAAGTGACATTTTTCCTGTCGACAACGGAGACCTTTGTCTTGCAGTCTTTGGAGCAAACGCCGAAGATTGCTCAGGTGGTCCTCAGCATCAATTCCGCTTACAAGGATGTCATCCAGATAGGTAGCCACACCAGGAAGGTCTACGGTGAGCTGATCCATGATCTGTTGAAAGTATCCGGGGGCAGATTTGATACCAAATGGAAGTCTTTTCTGCAAAAGCACTCCCTTATGAGTGCTAAGTGCTAGTCTTCGTTGACTTTCCGGCGCAAGCTTGATTTGGTTATATGCATCTGCCAAGTCAATTTTGGTGAATCCATATCCTCCTCCCAATCTTCTCATAAGATCTTCGGGGAGAGGAAGCGGGTGTCGATGTTCCTCCAGTTGATGGTTGACTGTGACAGAATAATCCCCACAGACTCTGATCTTGGGTTTATTTTGTCCTGGGAGCACAGCCTTCTTGATAGGAACCACTGGAGTCCCAAATTGACAAAATTGTGTGGCTTCCCATACTCCTTTTGTTATACCTTTCTGGTATTCTTCTTCCAAATCAGCTTCCATGGCAAATGGAACTGGCCGTGCTTTCCTGAAGATAGGCTGGACATTGGGCTTAAACTTTACTTCGAGTTCATAGTCCTTGAGGCATCCTAATTCCGGTTTCCATAAATCTTTAAATTCATTGCACAATTTCTTGCATTTCTCCTGTAGTTTGATGTCGGCCTTTAGATTGCTAAAGACTGCATGACATGATTCGACATCGTTGAGTGCTTGGTCTACAGAGATGCCCAGCTCCTTAGTAGCAGTTCGTCCCAATAGGTTAAGTTCTGGGATTTCTGACACTGTATACTTGATATCACGTGTCTCCTCTGACTCCTGTGTTGACGTTTTGGCGACGAACGTACCAATGATTGGTAAACTATGTTTACTTGCTGATTCATAGTGTAAATCAGGCTTCTGAAGATTTGGACTTCCCAAATCCTTCCATGTCTGCTTTGAAATGAAGTTCCCATTCGTTGCAGTATCCAGTTCCATTGTGCATGTTTGCCCTTGGATCTTGATAGGTACTTCCAGCTTTGGCAAGGATCTTTCATTCACTGCTTTGATTTCATGGATGAGTTTTACCGGCGTCTTTGAGCTTTTAATAGTTGCAGAATTTTTCTTTCTGCATACCTTCGAGATGTGTCCTTTAATTCCGCAGAAGTGGCATTCTGAGTCCTTGAAACGGCATTGTGGTGCTTGGTGGGTTTCAACACCACAGCGGTAACAAGCTGATTTGCCTGTCTTGGACTTGGTTTCCATTGCTTTGTTAGAGGGCCGTAGAGCGACCTTGTGTACAGATTTTGGCCTAGCCCCATAAACCGTGTCTTTAGCCACTTTAGCTGCATCCTCTGTTTATGTGGCAATTTCAATAGCCCTAGCAAAATCCAGTTCGTCGTCCTTGACCTTAAAAAGGGCTTTAAGCACTGCCTCATTGTTTACAGAACAAATAAAACGAGATCTGAGTGCTTCATCCTGAGGATCCTTGATGGATGCAAAACCACAGGTGGCAGCATCTTGGCGAATACGTGCCGCAAGCTCCTGTAGCGTTTCACCTGGCTTTCTGCGCATATCACTCCAAAACTTGAAGCGTTCGTGTACAACAAATCGTTTGGGGTCATATTGCGTCTTCATGAAATTTACAATTTCATCCATGCTAAGATCATTAATTTGCTTGGGTGGATTCTGCTGTTTTGCCAAATTTCCCAGTAACCGGTAAACATCCTTAGATTGATTAATTAGGAAAATTTGAGCCTTTCTATCGTCATTAACATTATGTGCACCAAAAAATGTCAAAAATCTATCGTAGTAGTCAGGCCACAATTCACTTGTAGAATCAAATGGTTCGAAAACAGGTACTGAAGGTAATGTAGAAGTAAAACGTGCAGTTCCTGATTCTGAAAAAGACATTGTATGGAGAAGAGCCTTCATTTGTTCTTGATGAGCTGCCGCTTGAGCTTCCATTTGTTTTTGCTGATTTGCAATTTGCAATTGCATTAATTCGATTAATTTTGCAGTTTCAGACATGTTGATAATAGCTTCGCTTAAAATCGAACGTGAATAAAATCTAATACCGTGCTTACCGGATTATTGAAGCTGTATAAAAAAAGTGGAATACGACCTGTTGATTTTCTTAGGTGAGTTGTTTGTAAAATGATGATAGCATCCTGTCGACTGCGCCAATTAACTCCTGTTGTATCTGTGAGGAATTTTCTAAATACTCCAGTGATCCGTTTGCGTTCAAGTCGAGATCACAGTAATAAAACATCGGAAAGCAGTGAACTCAATTTAATAATATTCACATCCAACTTTTAAAAAACTGAATCACATCAAAGCAAAAACAAACAACGTTCTAAAACACCTTAGAAACATGAAACAAAGTATTCTAAAGGTTCATTGACGATAATTCAACAATAAGGTGACAAGTCCTTTTGTAATTCAACACACGATGCCGCAGTTCTTTTCTTGTTAAATCTACACACAACAAAATTTATTGAAAAAATTAAGAGTATATTTCTTCTGAATATCTGTAATTTATTCTACAAAATTCAATTATATCAAAAAGGTCCATATTTTGTCAATTCGTTTAAAAACATTACAACGCTGCTCTCTGAAAAATTACGTGTTATCCTGTGATCATTTTTGCCAGCTTTCTTATCTAATACTAAATCCTAACAGAAAACATTTGCAATATTTATCGGTTTGGCATAGACCTAGCACTAGTCGGGGTATCTTTTTTCGGCCCTTGTCCCATTTTCAACGGTAATTGAATGTTAAACATAAAAATCATTGTAGCATGTCGTGGAAATTTGCATTTAATAGCACAAGGTGCTATTACATGCTTCAACAAGCTGGAGAAATAAAGGATCTTTTATGCCATGTAGTATCTTCAATGTACAGTTTCTATATCTTAATAGCAAGTTTATCTTTAAATAAGATACTATTTCAACGAGTATCTTGGACTTACAACAAGATCCGTTAATATTTACTGTGACATGGTGCACTTTTTAAGATCATCTTGCCCATCCCTGTTTACTTCTCCTTTGAGCGTCTTCACTCCTATTCAATTCTTTTTTTGGTAATAATACTACTTTGAGACCGTCCTTTCGATCAGCCACAATTTTGTTACAATGGCATGACATAGACCTCAACCCTTGACCGTCAAAAGCTTATGGAAGGCCTAAGTAAAGTAAAACAATGATAGTAATACGTCCATAAGTAGGTCACCTTGCATTTTGCATAGCTAGCTTTGGAGTTGCGAGAGATGTTATTAGATAATGCCTATGCCATAAAATTTAAGAGGCGTGGTATATCTTAAATGTATATTAAGACATATTTCTACGTAGCTAATTAAAGATGCAACTCATATTACAGTCAGGGGTAAAGTGATAGGGGGGCTCAACCGAAAATTGGCAAATTTATACTTTTGCTATTATATTTTGCAACATCCTGTGCAAGTGCCCCCCTTGCTATTTTGATAGCACTACACCAATGATTACAGGTTAAGTCGTACCAAATTTCCTCTCATCATAAATAGAGTTCAATGATCGATACTTCATTATGTAAGCCGTATAGTATTAGTTGTAATGATTTTTCCAGTTACATCTTTAGAGATATATAAAACATGAGTTATAAACGGGTTCCTAGAATCTTTTGATTTTGCAAACATCAAACAGCAAACTCACACAGACAAACAGGCCTGACAGTAAACTTTGAAATGTGCATGGCGATCATTTCTGCTCTATTCTAACAGTACAAGGAAGCTATTATACCACTCCAACATTATAATGATTTAAATGGCAAGCCTGATTTTTGTTTGTATTCCATTAGCGATGCAGCCAACCAGATTTGTTGTGTTCGATAATGTTGATTCAGCTGTCTTTACATCTGTGCCCTTGTTAGTATCCTAAGAGCATCTTTGACTGTCAAAAGTAGACAAGATCCTCCACTCATCTGAAAGGCCTTTTCAAAGGATTATCAAAATCTTCCAGCACTCAAAGGCTCACCAACAGCGAGGTAATTCAAACAGTCTACTTATGTTCCCAGTTATTAACACTGCTTTATTTCATTTGTTGAAATAGCTTTGAAAACCACAGTACTGGCAATGTGAATAAATCTATATTAAGGATCTGCCATGTCTGCAAAACGTTAGGAATGACACATCCCTTGAAAGATCCCTAGGGTCAATTTCGAAAGTTGATGTGTATTTAGTCTCCTTCAATTCAGGTAGGATTATGAATGCTAACAGGCCTAGTTTATAATACCCCTATGTTTCCAAAGAGGTTCTGGCTGAAAGCTTTGCTTTTCCAATAACAGAACCCCATCTCAATTTCCAACGATCTAGATGGGTGCAAACACGTGTTACCTTTCAAATCAGAGTCTCTGGTAGCCTTGGGATCTCCATTATCAACCAATTTAACAATTAGTCAGTGGTTTCATGTATAATTGTAACATTTCATTTACCATTTCAATTATACAGCTTTTCAGCCAGGTTCTGGACCTGTTGCCATTCATCCCACTCTGTTTTGAAATCAGCCAAAATTCTGCAAAATTTATTTTCCGATATTTTAAGCCCCTCCGATTTTACATTTTTTACCTAATTTCAGCTGATTAATAATTTTAACCCCCGGTTCTTGCATCTACGATACTGATCCCCCTGTATCCATGTCTTGAAGAAATTTTTAGAATTACGTTCTGTTATTTGCCATTTTTCAACAATTTGGGCACTTTTTGAGCACTTGAAATCTTTCTGTGCAGATAGGCAGAAAGGTTGTATCACTCTTTAATCAATCCTGTCTGTTGCGAAAAACTTATTGCTTTATCTTTTAGAATGAAAAGGAAACCCATTTTGGCAGCACTTCTGCTGGCGCTACTACACTGTTCAAACAGTAACATTTTCAAGTGGAGTAAGTATAAACATTTTCAAACTGATCAACATCGAAAAAAAGTACAGAAATTGTTTCTATCGCAGAGCACAGAGAACTATTTTGATATAGAATAGAGTTCCTGTCCAGTCTTGGAATTACACTATTGATATGCATTCTAGCCACTCATTAAGTAGCATTTGTGAACAATATCCTCTGCAACAAATTGCTGCAAGGTTTATCTATAAATATAAAAAATCAATGTTACTTTACTATTTATCTACCTTCTTTGTGGTTGGTACCTCTTGTGTCAATCTATTTTACTAGTCGATCTAGTTAGAAGCAATCATCTTAATAAGATAAAAATCATGCTAAAGGAGACTTTGGATTTGCTTGTCATGGAATGATTCAACAGTGATCGAGTCAACTGAAGCTAAACACGGTCTTTGAATTTGTAACTAGTTATTCTGGCCAATGTTTGTAGCTTATCCCTTGAAAACTATATCTCGGGTTGCATCAATAACAAGGGAATGAATAGGATATTTCTATCTTTTTGCTAGTTGTGATGTGAAGAATTCCATTTTTTAACTCACTAAGGTAAGACCCAAGGCAAAATATGAAATCTGGTGTTTAAAGACAATTTGAAAAATACATATTCACCAACCTGTAACGTTGTTTTTGGTCGAGAAAGATGTCTCGTGACTTGGGTAGGAGAGACTACGCAATTAGTATAAGATAATGATATATCATAATGTTATTTCAGATATGAGTGAGGGATCAAAGAACTGGGAATTGTACGTTTTTACCCTAAAGAAGATGTCATGGATTCATTACAGCTTCCTGGGGTTTTTCAATATAAGGTCTGCCTACAAAGACAAGCACTCTAGGCCTGAATCTATCTCCATTGCTGATGGAGTAATTCTAACAGAGGTAATGAGGTATGCTGTCCTGAAACTAAATGAACAAAAGATTCTAAGGCACCCCATCTATCTCCAAGTCATGGATTGTGAACATTCACGAACACAGCTATCAAGGTTTCAAGATTTGCCGGTGATTCTCGGCCTAACATCATGGCAAACAACATACTATATGTTGAGCAATCAAAGATCTAAAGCTCCAGTCTTCAATCCTTTATCTTCAAGCGCATCGTTCGATCACTATCATGAAAGCAAAGAAACATACAAGAGTATGCATGGAAATTTGATGCGAACAGTCTCATCTGATGCGTTAGAATTACAGGCAATCCTAGACATTTTGATTAAATTTGACTGGAAATATGTGACATTGGTGGGCTCAAACGATCTACGAACCCAAGAGCTTGTCCAGATGTTTCACAAACGTGCCTTCGCCGCAGGTGTCTGTGTTTCCAAAACGATCTGGCTCTCTGTGTTACCTGGCGAAAAGGAATACGATCATGTGGCCAAGGAGCTAGCGAGCCAAAGCAAAACCAATATTGTCATTTTATTTTCGACAACAGGGGAAACGCATAGAATTATCAAAGAAGCAGGGAAATATTCTCGACTGATATTTGTGACATGGTCTGGATTTAGAGCAAGTAATTACAATTTGAGAGGAATATCACAAGCTGCTAAAGGGCTTTTGATGATACAACATGCTGATACATATGACCAAGGCTTTGAAGATTATTTTATGCAACTTTCGTTAAGTAACAATCGATATTCATGGTTTGCAGAGTTTTGGAGTGACATTTTTAACTGCAGTATTCCAGAGGAATATGGAATATTGTCTCGTACGTTCGGAGACCAGCGGCGGCGTTGCTCTGGCTATGAAAAACTTGACAGAAGCTTGGTACAATTAAGATACGCCCAAGTGAAGCCTATCTTAAATGCCTTGGCTATAATTGCTTGTGCAATGAATCGGAGCGAAAGGGTTACAAAATGCAACTACACCTTTGGTTCATGGTGGCAATGTCGCGAGATGATAAGCAGAAAAGCAATGAAGTTCATCGGCAGTAAAGGATGCCAGCTGCCAGGTTACGTTAACCTTAACAAGCAAGGATTTTATAATAGAGGGTTTCTAATTGTTAACTATGATGGGATCGATTTCAGAGAGGTTGGGAGCTGGAAGTTTAATGAGACGGCAAGAAAAAGTCATTTTATTCTGGATTCTGAAAAAATTGTTTTCAAAGAAAGAAGCATACCTATTTCTCGCTGTTATTTTCCTTGTAAGATCGGGGAAATTATTGATCGTGGCCCAGAGGGTAAGGCCTGTTGCTATCTATGTAGGTCATGCAATCAAAATGACGTCACAGTGAATAACTCTTGTGTCCAGTGCCCCAAACATACGCGGCCTGACAAGAATCGAACTGCATGCGTGCAGTTACCTATCACCTATCCAAACATGAAGCATGGTCGAGCATGGGTTGTAGCTTTCTTTGCCAGTGTTGGAATTGTTTTAACAACGATTGTTATGGGAATATTTTACCGACACCGCAAGACTCAGATCGTTAAAGCGGCAAGCAAGGACATGAGCTTCATTATATTCATTGCATTGCATGCCTGTTTTTTATCGTCAGGATTTTACATCATGAAACCGAATGTTGTAATTTGTAGTATTAGAAGATTCATAGTCGGCCTAAGTTTGAACGCCTGCTACACACCACTTCTTTTGAAAATGATACGAATCTATCGCATCTTCAATGTAGTGAAAATGTCTGCACAGAAGCCACCGCTTATTGGCCAAAAGTCCCAAATTACAATTTGCCTGCTGTTGATTCTAGGGCAAGTCTTTCTCTGTGTCACTTGGATCCTTAATGAGGCCCCAAGTGTCAAGAAACAAGATTCCGAAAAGAGCAAGGAGACAGTGCTTCTCTGCAGCGCTGATACAACTAGTGTTGTTTTTAATCTAATCCCCTGCCTTATTCTGATGTCATCTTGCACTGTACTTGCGTACAAGACTAGAAATTACCCCTCAAACTTCAACGAGGCATTCAAAATCAGTATAACGATGTATGGGAGTTGCTTGCTGTGGGCAATTTACGTGCCGATGCTAGTGCTACATCAGCAAACTGGGGAATACGTACAGTTACCAACGCTGCTAACAGCTGGCTTCATGGTTATTCTTGGCCTGGTGACATTGATTGGACTATTCGGATCGACGGTGTTCAGGGTAGTAGCATATAGAGAGGCGGAGTCTGGAAGTAGTGGCAGGTTTAGCACGGGAACGCGCAGAGTAACCCTCGATATGATTCCAGATTCAAGGGTATGGCCAGAGACCTCATCTATGAAACTGACTTCGAGGGACGCATCAACTGACCCCATGGAAGCTGATTATTGCTCTTTGTGTTCCCAATATAAAGAAGTTTCAAAAGGATAGTTCTATGCAAGCTTTGCCATCTTTTTTTGGCTTTACATCAAGTACTCAAAGTGCTTTATTTTCTGGCAGAAAAATGGATTTCCCTTTCCCCTGAACTAAAAACATCTCAAAACGCCAAACATTTCAAAATACGTTCCAGACTTGGTTTTTTGTAAATAAATGAGCCTGCTCGTTCGGCATCAATTCTTATGCAACCTCTGGAGTTATTTAATGTTAAACTAAAAGTAAACATATATTATACTTAGACAGAGGATTTATCGATGTTATACATAAGCTGAAATTATAAATATTGCTGAAGTGGCATAAATGCGTTTAAAGAAATGTGCATTTTATTTAATTGTGAGATATGTGAATACATAGGTATCAGATACATCTGCAGTCCATTTATCTTCCTAGCTAACTGAATTAACCTTTTTTTCTCTTTATATAAGGGTAGTTACATAGAAGAGCTTTAGCCAATGAACGAATTTATTTTTTTGGCATTTCTTAATGCTTATAAGAAAGGTATATTCGGAAATCCCTGTTCATTAAAGAAATATGAGATGATAAATGAAAATCTAAAGGGCATGTGTCGCGTTAGCAGTTGGCTAATGCAACGAAAAGTTGAGAGTGGAATTTAGTTGTTTCATGTATTTTCACTTGTGCGTCATGAATTTTTCTGCCGTGAAAATTCATCGTCGTTCAAATGCTATGTACTAAAAAGATTATTCTATTGCATTAACGGACGACATACGCCCTTAGACATATTCTGATATTCTTCAAATTCTAATAAACAACGTCACAACCCCCTGGATCGTCTGTTAAAGAGGCATAGAATGGGAATATCTAGTCTACTAAGCTGAAAAAAAACAGGGGACATTAAAAAATCAGTGGCCTTTAATAGAGAATTTGCAGTACTTATTTAGATACATCTACATGCACTAGCGTCTATTTGTTATATATGCTCAAAAGTATAAATAGACATCGTGCGAAATAGTCCTACACCTAATTATAACATATGCCCTATCAGCAGTACCAGATTGATGATCAACCCAGATGAACAGGCCCCTTGCTTGATATCTAAACCATCCCTTTGATCACGTCCTTTTATTCCTGCTTTATGTGCTATTGTGAGCAGCGAGGAAGTTTTTCGCTCTGCATAGTTTTCATTTAGCTACCTCGGGTCGTCCTTTAATATGTAGCAAATCATTGTTGTTGTTTGTTCCTGATGTTTGTGAGCATAGTCACATTCTGTGGCATAGTCTATGTTGCGAGTCATGGCGTATAACAACCAAGGCCGGACGTATGCTCCTCCTGTAGTGTAAAGCCCCTAAAAATGTGCAAGGCACGGCAAGTAAATGAATGGCATTGCCTTTGTTTACCAGCTTTGAGAACAATTTATTAGCTTGGATTGGGTCAAAACATATTAGAATGTGATTGTGAACATCTTGTTCTTGAACGCAGCAAATTTTGCATTTTAACACAACGGCAAGTATGCATCAGCATTACAAGCAACGATAAATGAAGAAAACTCCATTTTCGCTTCAATTTTGCATTTAAGCCAATACCGGATCTTGAAGGATATAAGACAGACAATATGCTATCGAGTTTCAAAACATTTGGAAGACGCGGAAATCGAAGAAAATTAGATATACATTTTAACGGCTATGAAGTTACTTACAGGCACTTTACGATCACAAGTGATAATAAGAATAATTACCTGATCGGCAGCCACTTGAAGTGGTCAATTTTCATAGATTTTGTTCGCCTAGCCTTCATTTTGACATCAAAACAAAGGCATTAACTGATATATAAGATAAAACACCGTGATAGAAGTGTCTTAAATCTGACAGCCGCCATTGGAAATTGGACAATATTTTATAAACGTTAAAATTGCTTTTTTTAAACAATTCAACAACCAAAGCTTATTAAAACGAGGTCAAATATTACCAGAGAAAATGATATGAATATTTCTACAAAAGATGGGACACTAACACGAAAGATCATACTTTGAAGCCCATCAACGAAATAAGAAAATTATCATAAGATTATCATTTAGGTATGAAATAAGCACTGGCGATTACCTAGGGGAGGCGACGGGGCGAGGAGGCGAGGGGGCGAGGAGGCGAGGGGGCGAGGGAGCGAGGGGGCGAGAAAGGTGGTCACCCCAATACATTGGACGACAATGGTCTTTTGTTCTTAAACAATGGAAAAGTGTGATTTCATATTATTAAAACAATAGGCTTGCCCTCCAAAATATTTGACCAAGTATCCACCCCTGGAAATTAGCTTGATATCTGAAAAATCTATTCTTGAAGTATGATATCGCTTAGAACTCGAAACAACCCCAAGATAGATGGATTATTCGCCAAAACTGGTAAACTTTCGCCCAAAATTTTAAGTTGCCTTAATAATCTTATTATCATTTTTAAATAACTGCTTCGTTTCCACCAGGAATTTTTCCCGCATAGAATCACATTGGTGACAAAGACATGACACAGTACGAACAATAAGAATAATTTTTACCCTAGATCTGTAACTACAAAATACTGGAATTGACACTGTTTCTCTACATCAACAAATTACAAGGAATTCTGTATAAAAACGCGCACATCTATCTATCTAAACCATGTCTCAAATTCAATCTTGCTAGGCAGGGCTCTCGGGTATTTAATTTGCCAATTTCTGTTGCAAGGCTGGTCTTGGTGGTGCTGCTTGGAATTTTGGGAGGAAAAGTCCGAATTTCGTCTCAATGCCAGAATAAGTTGAAACTGCCAACCTAAGTCCTCCAATATGATCAGGATGCACAGAAACTTCCGGGTTGACAGGTGCTAGCTCTGTCTTGGGAGAACTACAAGTACAAAAGGTGCGCTAGTAGAATGGTGTTTTGAATCAGTGACGCGGAAAAACGCGCGAGTTTGAATGTGCCTACATGATGAATGCCGGGAGGGGAAATTCAGAAAGATTAAACTGTCAAATTCATCAGTATAGCAAAGTGCATGTCATTCAACATAGTTGTGTGTACGTTAACAAGCACGTGAAAATCTTACGCAACAAGGTTGATCAACAAACATTTTAAATATGACACCCTATAACACCCTGAATAATCAGCGTTCAAAAAACTGCAACATCGATATAGTGGGATAAAGCAGAAAACAAATAAGTCGCTTGACTGATGTGGGGGAGAAACGTCGCTTGAAATATAAAGAATTTCAGGCACAAAACCCGGAACATGGATAAAATTCATTGTTCATTAGGAAGATATTGAAAATCATTAGCTACAGATCGAAGGAAGATTTATCTGAAATATGAATCAGCATTTATTTGGTCTCTGAATAAGTGTGACAAATATCAAATAGTGAAAAGTGCACACGAAGATAATTATTGACAAAACACTTCAACGATTACGCAACAATCTACATTGGTTTGGAAGCCTACATAGAGCTGGGCTAGTAAAATAAATGCTATAGAAGTAGAATGCTACATAAAAAGTGGAAGTGGATCAACAGAGAAGAACTTAGCAGAAATTAATGCACAAAACAAGTAAAAAAACATACCCTCCACCAAAATCGACATATAAAAATCTTTGCAGCATTTCATATACCAATAATGTTACGCCGAACTGTGGCGAGGATCTAAATATACGGGCTGCAAATAAGGAATAAGGCAAATGTAAGAGCAGTATTGAAATCCAAAGGGACCATTGCTTGTCTATTGTCTTTAACACAGAATTGAATGAATTAAGTTGCAATAGAAATCTTGGACATGTGAAGTTTTGAAGACTACACACTCTTCCTGATTAAGACCGAAGTCTGTTAGTTTGACTGTCTTGTATGTTAGAGGATTGTCCGTTTCAAGAAAGACTTCCACGTTCCTACCTTTAACAAAATTACCGTTTATTCCATTCAATAATCAAATAGCTGGCATACACACATACACGGATGTTGACTGTATTTTATCTAAAATTGAACCAGTGCTATCCCGTTACGGCAAAATGCTTTTAAAGCTGTCTTAAACGAATCGGGTGAAAGGTAACAATCATTTTTATACAAACACGCAATTAAATGCTCGAAAAGGGGATTACGCATCACACTTGTTGGCACGTGGTCGACCACTTACCAGGGCCTCCTTTCCAAAATGCTTTGCCTCCTTCTTCAGCCCAAACTTTCCTAAAGCAATCGATGACGCCACGATACGACTGTTGCCCTCTCCTTGCTTTTACCTAGAACAAAGAAAACATGTTCGAAAAAAACCTTCTATTTTTACCAAGCCTACACCTGAGCATATTAAAAAAAAGAAGAATCCACGTGTGGTTCAATGATTCAAATTCATTGCGTTGCAAGAGTTTTTGAGCTCGGTATATAGATTAAAAAAGCCAATGGGCTGGCAAAGCCGTATTTGATAGACACATTTAGGTATATCTTGCTTGCCATTCTATAATCATACTTTATCAAGCAGTCAGTTGCCACCACGGAAGCAATTTTACAACAGGACAGAAGTGAAACACAAATAACGGCAAAGGCGTAAGTATCAAAAACGAAATTTCGATGATTAGTCGTCAAGATTGTTAGGAGTGGCCTATGTTTCATCGAATCTTCAGAGGACAACAACGCATCACAACACTTGTTTAACATTTAACAGGTAATTAGGCTTGAAATACCCTAGTCTAAAGCTTGGTGGAAACATTCACTGCATTTTTATTTTAAAGCAATCAGACCCATGAATCTCACATAATTAGCAAGAATAAATATACAAATGCTGAATATGACATAAGTCTCAAATGCAACACGCAAAACAAAAAAGTCGCTAGATCAGATAATTTGTTGCCATCACGAGTAAGGACTTACTTGTAGCCTGGTCTTTATTACGTCAGCCGGAGTTACCAAATAGGCTGCTGGTACACCTAAAACGGCGTGGAACAAAGATGTCAGCTTCGCTTTTAAGATAAAGGCAATTTGCAAGTATAGAAATGTAAGTAGGGATACAAAAGATAAGCATGGCCGCCGAGAGGTTATTGAGGCTCTAGAGCAAAAGCAAAAGTCGTGGCCCCTTTGCAAGCGAAGGGAGCAGACAATTTTTGCGACAACGCCAATTGGAATAGCTTAAATTCATTCATTCGTTTAAAATGCTTTACTTTCTTAAGTATCATTTTGATACTTTTGATTATTTTTGTTTTAGAACGGAATTTATTACTTTTAGAGGCTACCTAGACCTCGAGGCACTGGGGCAATTTAACCGCCTTGCCCCCTTTTCGGCGGCTCAGAAGACAAGTACCAGGATCGTTAGTTGCGACGATTTCTTTTGTCACTAGAACCCTCGATAATGGGTTAGCGTTACATATCAAAATTTAAGCATAATCTTTTAGTAGTGACCAGGGCTGGATAAGGCCTGGTCAGATCAACTTTGAAGGCTGAAACTTCATATAGAGTGGAACGTCGCAAGAAAACTATTTTTGAAAATTTTGACCACATGACATAAATAACCTCTATGAAATATTTACTCTTTAGTAATCAATAAAACGATTAGTTAGATCATCGAATCTTGATAACGAAAAACTGTAATTAGTATAATAATCGCCTCTGGAAAACTAGCATGTAATTGATATAAAAAACAGGCGATTGATTTATAAAAGAAAGCATTTACCTGCACCCGTAGCAGCAAAAAGCAGTGAGGGCCAGTTGTTATATCCATTCTCATCAGCAAGGTACAATTTCAAATGGGCATAGCATGGGAAGTAAATGGCAGAGAACGGAATGTCACGGAGGAAACACGCTCTGGCACCCTGAAACAACCAGTTACCCATAGTAACAAGAATATTTGAAGATGGATGAATTGAATTTTGCCAAAAAACAAAGGCTAAAGATGACTGAACTGAATTGATTGAATCAAAATTGCATAAAAATATACGTTGTAGTCGAGCCTAACAGCAACCTGAAACCCACATTCACGTGCTAAAAATTGTGCAAAAGTTTATCCTTAAGGGCTCTTGCGCAACCCGCAAGCTTAGCGGTAGCTGTCTAAGGAATTGATTGTGATTTGCATTTTCATGCAGTACAAAATTAGGCCAGATTTGAAAATACTGTCGCAAAGCATGCCGGTTGCGCTAGAGCCTTTAATAGACTAATAAATTACTTCAATAAGCGTATCGGGAAAATTGTGCTATTACGCTAAGTAGAGGTCAAAGGGTTGAATAAAGGTTGTTTCTACGTACTCTATACAAAGACGTGGTCAATAATATGAATCATATGCCAAGTTCAACTCGCAAATTCATATATTTTTGCAACTCTTGGAGTTCAGAGTGCTTAACGGGTGTTGTGAAGACAGTATATTTCGCAGCCCACGCCATTATCGGTGATTCCTACTCGCCCCAGTCTTCTTACGTGTTATATTCACGCCCTATATTGTAAGGTCAAGTTTTTTGAAGTAGTAAAGTTACGATAAAGACACGATATAAGTTAATGATGGGCTAACAAGTTACGTTTACGTTAAAGTTGTATATAGTCACGTTTTGTATATATTTAAAGTAAAATCAACGATATGGAGTTTCATTCACGTCTACGCTCTACCGAAGCTATGTTCAAAATAACGGGAGAAAAACGTAAATAGATGGAATCAGAGTTGGAAGTTAAGATTGAGATTTTCTTGGGAGAAGAGAAGCTTCGTTGAGTAAGTGAAGCCTGACGCAGCACTAAAAAGATGTAGACCAACGTACCTTATACAATCCAAAGAGGCCAAGCTCACTACAAAGGTTCAATGCCGATGGCTTGTGGCCTGCAACCTCCCCAGCCACCTGCATCCGAATCTTTACGATTTCAATTGGATTTGTAAACATAACTTGAGCAGATCCTCCCTGAATAACAAAATCATAAATCAATCAAAAATACATAAGATTCTTAAAACGGCATATGTAATAAAAGTCATATTAGAAAGGTAGTGATATTCAAACATCATTACATGTTACATTATAAAGCCATGTGTTTACGAGATGAACTGATTGTCTCCTATTCAATGTGGTTTAGAATGGTCTTTAGATGTATCCCTTTAAAAAAATTGAGTGTTTTCACTGCTTACATAAATAAACACACTAATAACATAATCATCTTTAATACTGTGGTGTATTTATGAATCTTTTTCCGAAGGTGGCAAGGGTAGATATCAGTCTAGAGGCGATTTTAAGTTTAATACAAAGCTTAGGTCCACGAAAAGATCTACGAAAATGCCCACGAAACAGTCGTTTGCCAGTTGTTAGTTTCCCCACATAGATGAAAAGTCAGTTAAGTTTTCTGACATTTGAGTCATCGATTCCATAAGTTTAGGTTCAATGCAATGAGTTCGAAAATTCAAGATAAAAAATCTTACACATCCTCCAGCCAATATTTCTCCATAGAGGGGAATTTCGCCATCCTTGTCAGTCATTTTGCCACGGACAAAATCATTGGTCTGAAAAAACACAGACACATGGAAAATAAACAAAATGTAAATGCAAAAAAACAATAAGTACCAAAATGAAAGAAATTCCTTCTCTATCAAAATGAAAGAACATTTACAAATTAAATTACACCAAAGTTACAGCTATAAATCGAAATGATTCTAACTTCAAATGCGTAAGATTTTGAATCAAGACCTGACGGCAATGGTTTATGCTTAATGGCACAAGTTTATGTTGATAGACACATGGCAAAAATCAAAATACGAACTTATATAATTAGATACTTCTCTAAATTAATTTTGACATGGAAATGATAAGAAATTAGACACAAAAGATTGTGCATAGCACAAATAGTCCTACAAATAGATAAACAAAAAGTGATACATAACAGACTTAGAAGGTAAATACTTGGTTAAATGATGAAATCGTAACTCAAGCATTAAATAGTGCAATTCAAGCAATAAATAACAAGCGGAAAAAGGATATGTTTTAATTAAATCTAAAATTGCTCCATATCTCACATATAAATGCGACACAAATACTAGGCATGAACGAATTGGTTCCAAATCGTTATTATTAGGGTTCAAACTTACAGTCAATTTTATAGCTTTCTCTGGTGAAACTCCGACCAGCTGTGGTAGAAGGCCTACGAAAGGGAAGTTGAAATTTTTGACAACAAACAATCTGCATGATAAATCAACAACATTTTCAAGGGATTGAATTTGTATAACTACGGACGGCTTTCAGATGGCACTGATGACTTTTTACCAGAAAAATGATTTAGCTTCAATGAAATAATACTGATTCCATCAAGTGATTAAAGAAGAAAAATTTGAATGCAACATTATGACTAGAAGTAATTTGAAAGTTAAAGTTTGAAATATCTTAGCACAAAACCCAACTCAGTTTCATACCAGGATAGAAAAGTGTAAACCTCGTAACGAAACGCTATTGATGAATAATATAATGAACACTTTTGAAAAGTAAGTTATTTAAGTAATCAAAACAAATCTAAATGATGTTGTATTAACTGATCGACACAAGACGACCTTCTAAAAAATTAAAAGTGAAAACTCAAATGATTTCCTTGTGAAATGAAATGTAAATCTAAAATTCTAGCGCGAAGAGAGGAATTTAAAATCTAACGATATTCAGAATCTCCATAATCAAAACAAAATGTTTTTGAAAAATATGAATGATTAAAAGGAATTCACGAAATCTTTACAATCGTTGACATTTAAAACCTCCATAAAACAACTGAACGATCAAGTTAAGCAGAAGGACCGCAATGCATTGTGGTAATGGAGAGCCGAGAAAATGTGTGGCTTTAATAACTGCCAGCGAACAAAAATAGTAGATTCTACTCCCTGAATAAAAACTGCAATGCATTCAGTGATTGGTTAAAAACAAAAGGACCAATCAAACTTCCTCTCGCGTTACTTTGGATAAACTTTCTACTTACTATCGGTCATTATCTGACATTTTTACTCTTAAGAGTGTTGACATAAAATACTTTTGCATGCTATGTTCCCACTTATTTGTGTCATCTTCAAATTTTACGGTCCCAAAGACTATTTGGCATAAAAGGAAACATAGAATTAAGAGACTGGTAGTAAAAAAAACCTTAAGAAATTAAATGATTGCTCGTAAGATTGAGATGATTACCGCGATAAAGTCCAAGTATGCCTTCATTTTGAATAACTTTCTTGGCACAGTCGAAGCTATTCTTGTACATCAGCTCAGAAGCAAGAACACTTCGCTGGTTCTGCATTCGAGTTTTCACAAGATCAATTGGATACACAGTCGTAGCACCGGCAGCTATGAAAAAAGATAATAGTAATACTATTCAATATGGGGTCATATGTTGATGAGAAATATCACAGAAGCATTTGCACACGTGCCAATACAGAGGCTAAGATACATTGACGAGAAAGCAAAAATATCCCTAAAGAAACCATCCCTAGAAATAAAATCAAGTTCTTTTCAAGCCCTTTAATTGCTAATTTCCGCCAAATTCCTGGTTCAATTCTTTATTCGGTGACAAAAACAAATCTCAAGGATGAAAAGCCATTTTTCAGTTCGCATTGTGTTTATAGGATATAGTTTATAGCATAATTAAATAGCAATAAAGAAAAATGAAAAAACGCCATTGTCACCAGAACCTTCAGTGACAAGAGAAACATTCAGATGGAAAGTAATTATGTAAACAATTGCACAAACCCCCTGCAAGTGAGCCGAGCCCAAATCGGTACAAGGATTCCAAAGCCTGGACCCCGAATGAACGCTTGACTTCTTTATCTGATTCTTTGCCTTTGATGTCATATTTCTGAAAGAATAACATTGCAAATTAAAAGTAGCATTATACGAAAATATACGGTTAAAATGATCACAGCTCCGGTGGCAATGCCTTTCAGAGCCAAGAGGTTACCGTCCAGTAAAAGGGGTCTAAATAACCTTGTATTGTAAGTCTTCAATAACTTGGAGACCCCACAAATCTACCTGCTAGCCATTAATTTTACAGTAAACAGCAACTTACTGCCTTCGATTTTCTCTGATTTAAGTTTTTGTAAATTAACGTAAAGTTTAATTTTTGATAGTAAGAAAGCGGGACCTTTTTTCAGTTTGTGCCTTTTATCTACTTATAGTTTTGACTTTCACGGCCAATGTCATTTCAAAAGATCCTAAGATGGCAGCCAAAATCTTTACATTTGAAAAATGAAAAACTAGGCTGTAAATAATATCATTAGTTAGTCTGTGACTGCAGGAATTAGACTCTTAAGCAAATCCATAGAAAGATTTAGCCTCATACCTTTATCTCGTGTATCTTTGAAAATACAGTCAAAGGATTCTGTTTGGGTACTAACTGATTTACATCAGCTAGTGATATTTTCCTGTTAGAAAAGTAAAAATATTTGGTTCAGATGCGAATAAAATTGAAAGGTATCGATTCCTACACTGATTCGCACTTTCAATGCTATCGAAAGACAACTCAAAGCATACACAATCCTGTTTACATTGCACTGCGCAATCAAAATAGGCTATGTTAAACTAAACTTCATTACGATATAGCTGTAAACAACAAAGAAATAATACGACACAGCCAAGAAAAGCTCATACTTGGCTTTGGAGATACAAAATGTCACATGCTGCACTGAAACATTTTCGAACAAATGGTGCATGAAGAAGCAGGGCAGGCATTATCGTTTTTAATAATTTCATCAAAGAAAACTCAATGATCCAATGAAATAAAATGCATATATAATCATAAATTGCAAGATTAGTATGAATAATTGACTCACCCTACACCAGGATTTGCAAGTCCACAAAGTTGGAATAGAATTTCAATTTGCAGCGGTGTTACCTATGCAAAGGATTAAGAGAGAAAAATTAGAATTCAAATTTCCAAATACTTAGAAAATCAAAAAATAGAGAAAAACAACACTTAAATAAATAAGCAACATAACTAGTAATTTAAGTTCAAATGTGTAGTTCAAATGTCTATCATTTTTACATACTAAAAAGGCTTTTTTCGACAAAGAACTTAAAGCAAGAAATTTTAAGTGGCAAAGAGAAAAATTTGACAAAAAGAGAGAAATCCCAGTACTACCTGTCGATTTCTTTGTGCCTGCCTAAGAACTTCCTCTGTAAAACGAGTAAAACAAAAAAATCGTTAACATAATCAGACTTTTATTGCTATACCTTTCACGAACGAGATTCACCTTGGCAAAGAAACAGTAGCGAAACATGCTGCATGAACGTTTTCCTTCGATCTTTTAAAAACTTAAAAATTTACAAAGGGGGAAATCCATTCGTTCTTAAAATAAGAAGGATGCACTTTTCTTCGTTCATATGCGGTGCCTCTGAAAGTCGCCCATTTGTTTATTACTTCCTTAGATCTCTGGAAACTTTCAGAGGACATGCTTGGTTTCAAGAGGTGGTCCTCATCCCACATTTCAGAGGATCGTTTGATCACTGCAAAACAAGGCATGATCTCGGTGAACTTTTAAGAATCAAAGTTAAATATTTAAAGTAGCATATACTTCTATCAATGTAGAAGTTACGTATGTATTTTGTCAACTAATTCGGCCGGTACATACATGATAAATAACGTCCATTACCTTTTGTAACGCTTTTAAACTTGTCATCCTGTGTGAGTTGCTTAAAAAGCTGCTGTATAGATGGCAAATTGTCGAGCAATTCATTAAAACCAAGGCAGAACATCAGTGTTATGCGACGGCTGCCACTATCAGAAGCAAGCTGAAAGAACAAACAATAAATACATATGAATGTGGTTACATCAGTGTAATCTATGAGTTCATTTACAAAATTTGCTCAAAAGAAAGTGGCAATTCAAAGTACCTTGTTCCAATGCAAAACGAATTTATATCACAATCATTTAAAAATTTTTTAACAAATAGTTCTACCATGAAAATTAGGTTTGCCTGCAGGTAGAGCTTTGACAATGTTGTGTGAAATTTCAAGTAAATGGCCAAGCAGTCAATGATGAGGAAGGAAATAACTTGAAACGATGAAATGAAATGTAAATATAGACTACCAAAAGAAACCACAAACCATGTGATTGTAAATGACAATTAATTGCCCATTAAAGCATGAAACCAGCAACAGAGCTTTTTGGGGTTATGATGCAAGTAGGTATCAATGTCAGAATGGTGATGCATTCAGAATGGTGGGCATGACGAGATGAGCTGTAATAATGTAATTGACTATTCTTAGATGTATGAAGTTTTTTTCTCAATTAAGCAATAAACTTTATGGATGAAGCTTTTTTCTCACTACACATACAAGCTGATGTGTTTCTGAAGGCAAAGTCAAAAACTCTCTTTTCTTAAAGACGTTTTGGAAAAATCTTTATCTTTAGGATTTCAAAGTCTGTATACATAACATTTGAACATAAAAGTGTTGATTTTTATGAAGCATTTTAATACCTTCAAAATCATTGGGCTGAAAAATTCCCAATTAAATAACCAATTCCTAAAGGAGGAAATTTTCCTTTGCAGATAGCACCAAGAAATAATAAACTAAGAATAAAGACAAAATACTCACTGAAGGAATGTTTTCTGCTGTATATGATGACAATTTGTGTGCCAACAAAGACCGTACAATGTCACCAAACTGGAGGGCTGTTATAGTAGCATCCTTTCTTCCTTTCTTAAGCTGCTGCGAGAAAGCTTGCTTCAAATATTGCCTTTCGAACTCCTAAAAAAGAAAATAAAATATTTCAAATTCATGAAATTGATAGGAGTAAACTTCTAAATTGCAATATTTACTGAAAAATAAACTCTGTTTTACCTGCATGAAATGTGTAAAATCTGTATATGACAGAGACAAATTCTTTTCTTCTCCAAAAAAGGCCCTCGTGAAATCGGTGCTGAAGTCAAATGGGAATTTTGCATATGGTAAACAGCTTTTGACAACATGTTGAAATTCACCTGCAATGCAAATTTGTTATTTAGAAACCTCTAGGGCCATCAAATAAATGTTTTACAGAGACTGATAAAGAACCAGACTTTTTCCATAAATGTGCATGGCCACGCATTGACACATGCATGAAGCAAATAATGTGAGTGATTTATCGCAATCTTTAGTCAGATATTCCACTAAAGAACTTGAACTTCTAGTGGGCCTTTGCCTATCATAATCGTACAAAAGAACAATAAAGATGACATCTTCAACAATACTCTTCATGGAAGGAATTGGAAAAAACTTCTGACTCTGAAGTTGAAGAAAAGGTTCATGGTTTATGGTCACTTCCTTTTGAAGAAGTTCACGGTTCATGGTCAAATTCAGCCAGCCAAACAAAATACTCTAATCAGCTGAATTTTGGCTAGTTGAGTGGTTAACTTTGTCTAATATTAGTTCAATAGAAATAGCTTAGCTGGTTGAATTAACATACATTTGGTTTTTAACCATTGTCTGTTATCATAATATTTGTTTCATGTTTTGTAATTGTGAATATTGGGAAAATTCAGGGTTCTGTGCCTTGTTTTTGGAAACATAGTTTTTCCTATGTATTTTCTTAGTGTTTTTCTTTGGGTAAAGGTGGTTATTCACCCAAATTCTACTTCGTTTGTTGGCTAAAGACTTTAAAAAAGCCAGATTGAAGATTTGATGTCAAGATAATGGATGTCCTCAATTTATGTGAACCAAGATTAAAAAGTGAATAAAATTTGCATGAGAAGTAACAAATCTATTGACACTGATGTTCTGAAACAAAAACAATATTGAATTGTAATTGTAATTGTCACTGAATTTTCCTAAACTCTGTTAGCAATGTAAATCAAACCATATAGGTAAGAGTGTGAATTACATGCATGAAATATTCTATGCATATGATTACAACACTTTTCTTGATCCCTTCAGGATGAAGAGTGAAGAACTAACTGCTGCAATAAAGGCACTTCATTTCAATTCACTTTTGGTATTTAAACCAACATACCAATGCCAGAAATCCACTCTATGCCATTACTGGAAATTCATAGAAGCATAAGTGTCCTTTTTAAAATTTTTAAAAGTTTTAGATATGTCTAATAAACAAATAACTAACAAGACATTTTAAGACTGCAGAAATTTTTTATGTGAGTCAGAAAGCAAGAATGGATTTAAAACAAACTGCTAACAAAGATAACAAGTGTCAAAAATTAAATTTTTCATTACATTTTATTTAGAGCTTACATTTCATTACATTTCATTTTATTTAGATATTTGTTAAGGTTTATATAAAGAGTTTCTTTTGACTAAAATATATATACCCAGACCTTGCCCGGAAAGGCGCTCGATCGAGCGCGCGCGCCTAGAGCGCACCCAAAAGAAGGCTTGGAGAGCTATTTATAGAGCCCCTCAAAACGTAAAAACAATATTACCACGGAGCAAAACAATTTTTTGGCCTTTGTCTAAAAAACTTGATCAAGCATAAACAATCTTCCTAACAGACCGCAATACTATGATTTGTGTAAGATTACCACTTGAGAAAAAATTCAGAAAATTCAACATTGGGTTTTTAATACCATTTTTTATCTAATAACCCCCTAAAACCATCAATGACACAGGCCATCAAGCGTATGCTCTGTCAGATTCATTTGATTTGCGAGCAAGCGTTAATATTCTGTTGAAGTATTATTTTCTGTTTTTCTTAATTACTTAAAATGGCCTGTGCAAATCAGCGATCACATTTCCGCCCAAATTATCGCATTGCTTTTTAGTTTTTATTTGCTTCTGTGAGTCGTAGATGTTCTAGCATGTCTTAAAGAATGAAGAGCAGGACCGTCGAGAGGGGGGGGGGTAACCAGGGTAGTTACCAGGGGGCCCGGGGCCTTGAGGGGCCCGTAGAAAATAATGTATGTACTTTTGGCTATGAGTTTTCAATTAGCAGCATTAGCAGGGCGGGCTCATGACCCGATTGATATTCGAAATTTAATCTTTCAACATGGGACCAACAAGCTGGTCTATGATGAGGACCTTTTCTTGTTAAGGTTTATAATTAGAACATTGACGATACGATCATAATATACTTCTCCGGAAGCCGAAAAATTCGATTGCACTTACATATATCTACTTTTAGGTCAAATCTTTTAGTTATTCCTTGTGTTGACTTCCTATAAACGTAAAAGTAAATCTTCCATTCACGGCGTACACCAGAGAAGAAGCACATGCGAAGAACCAAGACAAATCCAAACGCTATAAAAGTCTTTATCAAAATCACTAAGCGGGATCACGATCCAACCAACCCCTGCGATGTCATCTCACAGGCACAAGTCTGGTGCTCAGAAAAGGCAGGAAAAAAAGATACGAGAAAAAGAAGCAAAAAGGGCCTCTCGCACACTGTTGGAGGTAGGTGCTTATAAAAGAGACAAGGAAGGTGATTCAACTTTAAATAAACCTGGAGAAAGCTCTGTTCAAAGCATTGCTAAAGAAGAAGAAGACACAAACGGCTTGGCTGCTTCGGTAGACCATGACACCACAGAAAGTAGAGAAAGCACTACTGATTCGTCATTAGATCAAGATACTGTTCATAGTGGATCATCTAGTTTTGATGTCGGCACATTGACTGGATTTCCAACGATAAAGGAGTTAGAAAAGGTTGTTAAAACTGGTCATTTGCCTCATCCTCCAGAGTTTCCCGAAGACTGCGACGGCCACAAATTGCCAACAACGGTCCTAAATGTGAAGCAGCAAAATGGGGAGGTAGTAAGAAGCTGGCTTGTTTTCGGTCCTACAAAGGCTGCACTCTATTGTTTGTCATGCAGGTTGTTTGGGCACAATATTAATAATGGTTCAAAATCAAAATTGACTTCTCCTGATGGTTGGGGAGCGAACGACAGCTGGAAAAGATTGTGGGAAATAATTAAGGATTTCGCCATAAGGAAAGCAAGAAAAGATTAAGGATTTCGCCATAAGGAAAGCAAGAAAAGCAGTTTTTTAAACATTAAATTAACTCTGATTTTTAAACTGATTTGTTTTAATGATTTGTTTTATAAAGTCACTAATTACATGTTCTGTTAAAGACCTTAAAATACAAATTCAAGTTTTTCAGGGGCGTTGATTTCAAAATTCATGCCTTTTACAGTCCATCTAACTGCATTGCTAAGGTTGTAACCAAAAAAAGGTTTTTGCAGCCTTCGACGGTGGGGCCCCATGACAGTCCCAGCGCTGGGGCCCAGCCCGTCTCTCGACGGCCCTGATGAAGAGCATAAAAAATGAAACAAAGTCAAATTTTCGACTTTAAGCCATGTGTTTTGATGAAGCAATATGTGAAGCAGAACATAACTGTTTAATGATACTGAAAGTGAAAAAAGCTCATCAAGTGATGAGCAAATCACATATCTTGAAAAATCTGAACAATTTTGAGACTTTGTTTTATTATATTTCTATATTAACATTAACATAGTGTTTGCCGCATGTCTTGTTTTGTTATTTTATATTTTGTTGCTTTTTGGTATCATCGTTGAATGTCTTATTAAACATTCTCCGAAGCTCTCGATATGAAACTCTCGATCTTCCAAAGCTCTCGAAGGATGCTCTCAAGGATATTTTATTTAGAGGTGCAAAATAGAGCGCCTAGAATTTCTAAGGGGCTCTTTTTATAGATCACCTTTATTTTGCTTAGAGCAAGGCCTGTATACCCAAACTATATATATATATATATACAGAAACTTTGTGCCAGTTGAGAGTGATGAAAGAACCACTCTAAATCTGTTACCATAACAGGAAGAAATTTTTAGATTAAAAATGTGTTAATAGTCTAGCTATGCTTGTTCAGTACATTCTGTTATGAATTCATGTTGTGATCGAAACAATATAATTTTCTTTTGTGGGTGTCTACAACACTTAGCTAGATAATACTTTGGTACCACAAAATCACATAGTACATGGAAAAGTTGTAACATCAACAATACTGATTTTTCTGCTTTTTCCTGCCATTCAAACTGAAAGTTATGAATGATCGCAAGCCTCTATAAAAAATGTTGCTTTGAAGCACACAATCAGCTACAAACCTTTTAAAATCTTTCCAGAGAGGCCTGTATATACCAAAAATTTGAAATGATGAGTGATAAATGATACCTATAAAGAACTTTTCAAAACAAATTTGAGCTCTTACCAAATGTTATGCTGCCTTTGCCATCTAAATCAAAAAGTTGGAATAAAAGTCTGTATTTTGCATCTGGTTTGCAAAGCAAAGCTTCAAAAGCTTGGAACTCTGGAAATGATATTAGCCTGGAATGAAAAAAATATAAAAAAATGCATATTTAAATTTACCTGTGACCAAGAAAAATTTGCAAAAGCTGGTAGAACTGAACATGTTTTAATACAACAAATATAGATAATACAAAAGTAAAAATCGTAAAAAATGGCTAAAGGATTAAATTTGGGCTTTCCAGGGCACAATTGATTGTTAATTGCAACATTTTCTGTATTTCTTACAATAAAAGATTAAATTCTATACCAGGAACAACAAATAAAGAGTTTATGCTGCTGAATAAAATTAGAGCTAACCAACACCTAGAAATATGATAGCCAATTAAAGATATTACTGGGAATGGTTTCAAAATAAAACTATAACTTGACATGTGAAATGGATTCAAATCCAATGTAAACAAGTCTTAAAAAAGGATAAAAACCCATCAATACAAATTAAGAGCAATATATAAATGTGCATAATAATAATATTATTTGAAGAATCATCAATTTATAAATGGCATTCTGCTTAGAGAATAAGAAAATAATGTCATTACAATTGGCCATCACTTTTTTATCCCCTCAGGTATATATATGAAATAGACTTTTCACCAAAGTCTTTCACCTACCCATCTTTGGTCTGATCAACACAACCAGTAAATAACTTGAAGGTCAAGTCATTAAAACATGCAGCATCCATTTGGAGAAAATCCCGCACAAAGTCATGAGGGGTCATGTATCGTTCACCATTTTCCTCAACACTGGCATACTGCATTTTAAATGAGTTCAAGCATATTAAAAAAGAACTGGTAAGTGATCAAACTGAAAAGTTTACATGTAGAAAACAAATAACTATACACAATAATAAGAAGAAAAGAAATAAAATAAAGACACAGTTGTATTGAAGTGTGATTTATTAGTCATTGACATATAATGAATGCTCCAGCTGATTCTACTTAAACTGTCTCTGAGCTCTCGGTAGTAAAGGAGCAGGAAATTTTCAAAATTTTATATAAATATACATATATAATTGGGATAATATGCAAGGAGCTTGATGCTAGCATGCTGGCCACATCAACAAAAACTGTCAGCAACTGATGACCATTATGACAATCATTCAAGTGCATAAATAAATCAGTATGAGAAAATAACATTGATTTGACAATTATTCGTGCTTTTTATGAAATCATAATTACTGAAACACACACCTTGTAAAATACAACTCTAAGGTCATCTGGATTTGCTCTCTTGACAGTATACTAGAAGAATAATTTACAGTACTTGTGAAATTTTACCATGTAGGAGAATGAATACAGTAGCCTAACTGCCTTCAAACTTAAGTCACTTAATAATTATATAAAATACTTGATCTTTTAAATGAGAATACTGAAAACATGAAAACACAAGAATACTGAACCAAAACCTCTTGTGGGTAAACATAATAATAACATGCAAACGAAAATTGGTTAGGATGCAAGGTACAAGAATGGCCAGTGATTAGGGTCACTGACTACAGACCCAAGGGTCCGTGGTTTGAATCTCTCACATGACCAAACGTTCTCCCAGAATGAGGAAAGTCACTAGCTCTCTGTGATTTCAACAGCATAAAACACATAACTATAAATCACACTAATGCCAAACTATGCCCTTCTAACTAATGCAAAACCATGGCCTTTTAAAAGAGAATAAACTTACATAATTACAGTTATCCTAGAAACAAAAAATAAAATTTCATTTAGGATGATTTGAATTAAGCTGCATGCAAGGACATATGCAAGGATGTAGCAAATTCATATGGAATGCCTGGGAATAAGCATTGGTTTTATCATCATCTGATAAAAACTTTTTAGATAAAAAATTAGCTACTTTTATATCTTCTATTCATTTTATTTAAGTTGTGAGATGTTATTGAAAAAGAATTCTGTGTGGGTTATGGATACTCTCTGCAGTTTGTTTAATGAAAATTTGTGAATTTCCATTGATCTTTCGATAGTTAAAGACACTAAATCAGTTATACACTAAATCAGTTATAAACAGCAATAAAATTTGCAATTTTAAGACAAAATAACAATTATATTATTCTCATTTTATTCTGAGGAAAACGTCAATGACTGAAATAAAAATGATAATTCTTCTTTGACTTTTTTCATAGGGAAATGAGTATGTAACTCTATAGTTTCAGATCTGGAGAAATCCATAAAATTCTGCCAAGCAAATCTTACCTCAATAAGATAAGTTTATGTTGGTTATCTAGTAAAAACAGGATATACACTACTAGGACAAAAGTATTGCAACACCTGCAAAGGCGATTAATGGTGGAAGAGGCAATAACTTTTGTTGTTGTCTGATTAAGCTATTGTTTAATCAGCCAATGGTGTGCAAATAAAACTGCAAATTCAAGGAAGCATAAATTTGAATATTCCATTCTAATTTTTTTTCAAAATTTTGAATCAGCAATTCAATAATTAAACAAACAAATTGCGGAGGTGCTTCTGGCTCTGATAAGTTGAATTGCTTTGTAATTGATGCACAAAATTTGTTAATGAAATGCACTGAGATTCTCCTTCATTCTCCATAAACTCTCCAAGTCAGTTCTTGTTTAGACCTTAGCGAACCATGTGGATTTCAAGTCAGATCATTTTCATCGGCAACAAGAAATTTTCGCTTATTTAAAGGTTAGGTCTTTGTGAAAGCCGAGGAAGGACATTGAGTTTGCAGATTTTCAGGTGAATTTGAGTAAAAATGGCCTTGTAAGGGGGATGAATAGCTTTTTATGGAAAAGGTTTAGCATGATTATTATGATTATTTTTTACTACTGGTTTTGTATGATTACTTTCTCTTTTAAGGGAATATTCCAGCCTAAAGATTCAAGTTTGCAAAACTTCAATTTTTTTGGATGCCACTTTCATTTGGGTGTTGCAATACATTTGTCCTGGTAGTATAATATTTTATGGTACCTATAAAGGAGACACTTATTTGAAGGAGACAGACGAATTTATGCCTCACAGTTCTGACATTTACGTAATAGAGGTGCTTTTAGGGACCGCTGAAGCGGGGGACTGAATGGGCTTTAGCCCCCTTCCCATCCCAATAATTTCCAAAATGTACGTATACCATACAAAAAATGCCTTGCTCTTGGTTTTAAGCAAGTCTAGCACCCACCCCCACCCCCACCCCCACGGTTTAGCCCCCTCAATCTGTTATATGTTCCGCAGTCCTTATGTATTGTTTGTAAATACTTCTTTATAAACTTACTTTAAATTTAATGTATTGTTGCTACTGAAAATCCAACTTTACTCGGTGTATTAGAATATAAAACTGTCTTGGTTTTGGAGTATACCTTTCTCCGTGACAGCCTTCGTTAATCCGACGACAATGTGAAAGTTTGTTGCGATTCATACAACAGTGTTTTCTTTTTTCCACATATAACGCTAGACATTATTTCATCATCACACTTAGAAAGTACTTATTACTTGATATAAAAGAAATCTTCTTGGAAAATCGTGAAGTGCCAGATAGCAGTGCAACAAAGCAAGACGACGGGTACCAGGCCTAAGTATTATGGTCATCGCGAAAAAAACCATTCATTGTAATTTTTAATGGGATACTTACATCAAACAGTGGTGCATCACAGAGGGCAACACTTCTTGCAAACGTACTTTTGAAAAAATTTCCGAAAAAATCCATGCTGCCTTCTGCTGTTTCTTTTTTAACTAAGCTTTACAACAAGAAGGAACCTCCTCAAGCAACCATTTTGGAAGCACCTTTGTTACCACGAATTCCAGGAGAGCCAGTGCAGTAGACAATCAAATATATAACAAAAACTTTCCGCTTATCAGGAAAGTGGCTCTTTATTCTTTGTGTAACCGAAGTCAGGCAAAACTGGAGCAAAAACTTCGGAGGAAAGATTTCGTGTTCCTATAGAAAGGCTTTTCGGAGGCCTTGATTTGGAGATGCCGCGAAGCAGCCAGCCAATCAGATCCAAGATCGAATACTTATCAACCCTAGTATCATGTGATCAGTAAAGAGGTATTTTGTTTTCATGCTTCATTGCGATTGACAAAACGTGATCTGTCCAGCTGTGCCCCTCAGGCGCGACTGTGCTAAGTTTAGCCTCCTCTGTAAATCCCGAAAAGTAGCCCTTTGTCCTTTCTTCTTCTGTATTTGAGAACTTTTTTCGGAAGAGTGGCCTTTGCCATGCAAAAAGAGTAAATTCGAAATCTTATTATAAAAATATTCTGTGCAAAACTTTTTCTTGCACAATTTAGGGAATTTTTACATCATTTCAAACAAGCAGGATCACGTGCTGCCCTGGTGCTAACGTCCCAGAAAGCTACAGAACCAATACAAAATACATGCCTGAAAATAATTTGTTGGTACTTAAACAATAGCCCTGTATTCCGGGGCGAATTATTAGTATTAGTTTAATTTAATTTATTTTGAAAATTTATCTTATAACATTGGATTCTCATCGCCGTTTTGCTTTGTTTCTGAATTCTATCCTCGTATTTGTATTATTCTCAATGCAAGATTCACAGAATCCGGCGGACAGCCTATCCTGCGGTTTATCCTTCTCGCACATTTTAATTTTAAGGCTGATAGAAACTACCCTATAAAGGTCGCGCGAAGTTTCGTTCCAATCTACTGTTGCCATCTCTTTTTCAAATTCAATCAAAAGCCTGTTTTAGCTTATTGGGAAAGTGTGGCAGAAAAATAGAAAACAATAGACACAAAGCATGAATTTCCATTGGTTTGATTGTTACATTAATATGAATAAGCCAACCACTCGTTATATACTCGTTATATACTCACAATCATTTCGATTAACTTCTTTTCTAATATATCTCGTTTTTATGCCACTATTAATAAATGTACGGTACTATACGATATGGGACTTCTTTGCAGTAACGGTCCCAGAATTCCCGGTACTTTTCTCGACATCTGACGTCATCGCGGTAAACACGATGTACGAGAAGAATAGTCATGTAGATGATATAGAAGTAAGGAAGAAGGTGCGTGAAACCGCAAGGAAGGCAGTAAGCCAAAGAACCCATCAAATCTCCAACATAATTAAAGTGCCTTGATAAACCCCACCATCCTGACATTAGCAGAGGGCTTTTGTGCAGTTTTCCATCAGTTGTGTAGTAAGTGGCTGGGATGTATTTGGCAGGCTTTCCCCATATAATACTTTTGCCTTTTGTTTGCATGTCAATGCGGAAGTTGTCTTTCTGCGAGTTTACAGAACGGAATATGAAATAACCAACGCCTCCTAGAACCGAGATACCAAGGACAGCCAATACTGAAAGTTGCACAGGGTTGTGTACCAAAAAGTAGCACTGAATGGTATACATGAAAGGAAGCCATGTAAGATCGCCCCAAGCAAGGTAGAATCCAAAATGGTCATGCGCAATATCGATTGTACGGAGGTACCAGTCCTCCTTATAGAAATAATCAACGACATACATCGCATGAAGGACATTAACTATGATCATCGAATTTGTAACATGACCATAAAGCTGAAACTGTTTGGCAGCACAAGACAAATTAATTAGTGTCCACGCAAGAATACCTGGCCTTCCATTGAAGAAAAGTTTGAAATCGAGGTTGCCAATTCTTGGATTGTGTTCGATTCCCATGAAAAAGTCGTACACCAATGAATCGGAAAACCGTCGATCCTCTGCATGAGTTGGGAAATTATAGGCCTTGAAAAGTGCAAAGAAGCTTAATGCCAAACCAGATAAATTTGCCAAGACAAAAAATGAGCCCAAATTATCAAAAATTATTGTTCCTTGAAAAACTCCAAAGTATACCCCCGTCACAGCAGCAATGTGGGTTACTATCCATGAATTGAGGCCATTACAGTGGTACTTCAACACGTTACCACCGGGGGTCATCTGACCGTAGCCTGATGGGCCTGGCATAAACAGGTAAAACATTGCTTGCACGAAAATCCAGCCAAAATAAAAGCAAGCACCGTCAAACGTTACACGGGGAATAGTAGACCACAGAAAACGAGCAATGTCACCAGAGGCAATATGTCCCAACAAGGCTTGTCCAGCGAGCTGCAGCGATCCTCCATAGTTGTGAATTGTTATGAAGCAAAACCAGCAGAAAAATATTGGGAATGCAATCATAAATGTGGCGAGAAAATTTGCTGAGAATCCAGGTAGTCCAGAGACAGTTGCTTTGTGTCTAACAATCTTTGGTCGATCCATGGTTGAAACCGAAAATTAACGAAGAAAGAAGGCATCAGTCAGCTACAAACCTTGGACACTTGTGGGCGCATCACACAACAAAGAGCACGTGATTGCCCTTTGCACCAAACGAACGATCACCTCTGTGATTTCTGAGGTCGCGCGCTTTTACGGGAGGATTGGAACTTACGACACAATAAGCAAAAGGTACTCCCCCTGTGTAACAAACAGGCCCGGTTGGGTAGTGTAAAACCGCTTAAAAAGGCAGGGCCGGCGAAACCGGGGGCCGGGGGGCCATGGCCCCCCACTTTTCTGCAGAGCTAAAGAAAAATTTTAGGCAAAAGTGAAAATAAATGTAGTATATGATTCTGCAAGTAGCTTTGCCTAGTATTCTCTTAGATGTGTCCTTAGTTTTACCAAACGTCAGTTAGTTTTCTCAAACGTATATCGTTGTACGACTTGTACCACTAAGCCTTTCACAAGAGCGAAGTGTACGTGCTCACAATGCTAGCTCTAACTCTTAACTAACTCAGGATTCGTAGAGAACGATCAGGGGCGAAACTTCACTATTTTCATTAGGGGGGTATGAAGCTTAGTTGCCCGACGAAAGGGCGTGGCATGCTTGATGAAAGGGCGTGTTCTACATGAACTTCATTTTTAGAGCATATCGCCTCAAGGGCTGAAATCATCGGGAAGCCCGAGAGAGGGTCTTTAGACTCAGGCTGTTTGTTTTAAGTCAAAAAATATGCCTCTAGTTTTTCTGGTGTTGGCTATAAACATTTTTTTCCGAAAAGCAAGCATTTGTAAGGCCTGTCTTTTCTATAAAAAAAAGTCTTCACTTTCAAAATCACCTAGCTATTAAGAGAGCAATTCAAAAAAGAGATTGAAGTAGGGTCTCAATTTTATCAAAGTGGAACACCAAAACACAGCTTGGAAATTTCGGAATTTAGAAACAGCTACGCAGATTACAATGTTCCAACAAAAAAGAGCTTCAGTTGCATTCTCTGAGTTTCATTTTCAATTTTCGGTTGCTCCGGAAGCAATTTCAATATTTTTTAGACACCCAAGCACAAAGTACGTATATCTAAATTCACCATAACAAAATCCCTCAAGCAAAGAAAAGTTTTTTATTGGAGGTATTTCACAGGTATACCTATCATCAAAGCTCAATTTTCATGTTTTCGTAATCATGGATATTGTTCAGAAATAGAATAAACTCGAAAGATTTTTTGCAATGTAACTACAATTTCTTGATAAATTTTATATTACTTCCCGCTTGAACTGATTAAAACTTTCTGTTACTTGTTATGGTTATTCAAACTTTTTTAGTTAAAAAACTTTGGCGTCTGTATGACCATTTTCTAGCGAAGGGTGCAAGACTTTCGAACCGTAAGTGTAAAACCTCAAGAGAATTTTGGGGCATAACTCCTTATGGATGTATTGTTGTGAAGGAGCAGCACGCGGTTAATCCTTCACTCGTTCCTAGACCTCGAAGTTGCATTAGTCAGTTGTTCACGCCACGTTGTAATGAAAAGGTGTTCACGTTTGATCATGTTTATTGTAAATAGTTTTATTATGTTTCTGTTGATGTTATGAAATGTTTAAAAACCCAAATGATGTCTTCTTCAAATGTCCTGACCTAAATTTCTAAAACATGTTTGATTTCATGAATGAAAGTTTCATACATTTGGAAAAGAAAATATTGATTGATTTTCTCAACAACGTATTCCGAGATGGTGTATCCTTCATGCTTTGATTCATGATGCTTCTAAAACTGTCAGTGTTCTATGGGCTCCGAGGCAGGATGGAACGTTAAGGGGGGGGGGGGCTTTTCAAGAGAAAATTTAGAAATCACAACAAAAGATTTTGAAAAAAGCTCACTTGTTTTGCAAAAAGTAGGGGGGAGGGGTATACACAGTGTTCATTTCCTTCTCGCATCAAACACACTTTACTTTCTGTCTATACTTTTGCTGTCGATCAATACTTCAGACTTCATCTCGAGGCGAAGATAAACATGTGCGCGTTGAGCTCCAGACGAAAGCGCTGAGCAGTGGACGGACGAAAGACAGAAATGTATATATGTTGCTGTTCCTTGCCTCGTTTCTGTTTTGTTTTCCCAACTGGGAGGAGATTGAAAAAAAAGATGGGGGAAAAGACCATGAATTAAAAAACCAACCTAGGGCAAAAAGTAGCAATAAAAGTGCGACCTAAAGAAAATTTCCAGATTTGCCCGACAGATACACTAGCAGCCATAAATTTGCCCGACAAATCCCCCCCCCCCCACAGTAGTTTCGCCCCTGAGAACGATATATATATGTTAAACTAGTTCTTTGTACAAATAAAAGATGTAAATGTGCTAATCTTAGGTGTCTACATAAGAGGAAAAACAAGCTAGAAAAACAATATGAATGTGTCTAGATACGTATGTATAAGCTGAGTCAATCCATAGTGTAGTTCTTAAAATAATACTATAATAGAGGGTGGGTTTCCTTAGTGAAAGTGTTCCTACTAGTATACGCAATGCAACAAAGAGTGCGATGCAAGTTGACGCAAAAGAGTATGCACAAACAAGTATGACTAACGCTGGGAGAGTGGATGAATGGGGCGAAGAAAATGCGCAAACGAGGCAGGTAAGAGCGAGGCTTAGCGCTTGGAGTAGCGGTATTACATTTCCTAAACCCTTTCAAGATTTTGATATTTTGGCCCTTCCACTTTCAAATACGTTTCGCCGGCCCTGAAAGGGAGTGTTACCAATGTGAGTTCGTTGTAGGCAGAAATGCTAAAAAAATACGGCAACGCAGGCACCGCGGAGCGTTGAGAAAAGTGGGGGGTCTCAAAGAAGGGGGGGCTAAAACCGTATAAAAAGAGGCTTTTCTGGTAGTTTGATACTTAATATTTGGCATTTTTTGCAAAAAGTGGGGGGGGGCGTGATTACGTACGTAAGGTGTCGTAACAGTAGAAAGCAGTGGAAACCTTCCCCTGTCAGGGGAATCCCCTTCTGAAAGATCGAATGGCCCAGCCATTTTTTCCACTTCCTCGCGCTCCTAGCCTGTAGCCGAATCCCTTAACTTTCAAGTTCCCTGCTCCCTGTATGCTAGGATATATTTTATTTGGCACCACATAACAACGCAGAAAGTCATTTTCAAGTAATAAACTTAGAACACTTTCACTACCTTCCTTGCCTGCGTCACAGACCATCACGCAGGCTATACCTCCCTCTATTCTATTAAAGGGCAACAGTAGTGTTGCTCTCTTCATCTCTCATGCCAGATCTCCGATAACCCTGTTTCTTTTTCTCCATCAGTCACCAGCCCTGGTCTAGGGGCATTTCATTCTTAATGTACGCCGAGATTTTCACCGAAACAAAAATATACCCAGAAATTTTTAGGAAATAAAGCACGCCCACCAAAGGTGTAAACATGAGTGCGCATGATTTTGGAAGCCAAGAAGAGTCACTTAAAATTTTTACATACGAGCAGGCCCATCCGCAGTTATTAAATTCACCTAAAAGTATCAACAAAATTAGCAGACCCATAATTATTAGCTACAAATGTTGATAAGATCAAAAAAATCAAAATATGAGGTTTTATTGTCTAGCACATAAGATACCACTAGTCACAGTAATTTAGACTGCCTCCTAAAATAATCAGTTTAAACACATCTGTTCTTTTATTCCTGTTTTTAATATGTAGGTGAACCTCTTAAATCAATACCTTAAAGTTATATTGTTAAATCAGGAACGAAAAAGTCATCAGATCACAAGGAAAATTTTTAGTCATAATTATCGGATGGACTCACAAATGCAGTATGAATGCAAGAGCCCGGTAACCAACATCAGTTACCAAGATAATTTTGCAAAAGGGCGTGGTGACAGTAAAAATTAACCTAAAGGGGACACTTTTTCCGGGGAAAGGATGTTGGCAAAACTGTAGGGGGTATGGCACCCCCGGATTTTATGTTTCTTGTTAAAGTGGGATCCCTATAGAAATTTGAAAACTTGCAATATGCAATGTATATGCTAATAGTTTCAAAGTAGTGCCCAGGGCCATACAATAAGTTTTTTGCTAAAAATTTAATTTAATATGTAAATTGTACCTCCAGGGCGTTCGATGATCATGTTTTTCGATCATTCTTCATCATTTGACAATGTAAACATTTCTGAATCTCTCCTGCCAGTTTTAAGTTCCATGTTCAATCTATAAAGTGTTTATGGCAGAACTCCTCGATGAACTGCCGACAGGAATTAGGAAAGCTACGCCTGCAATGAAATTTTCAACACCAAGGAGAACGCAATTATGCATAGAAACAAAGAGAAGGCTTTTGGCTCAATAATGGAATGAAATTCGCTTTCAAATAATATTAACTAAATATATAATCCTGTTTCAATACTTGTAAAAAAGCTTGCAGTGACCAGGTGTAAAGTCGCTCTCTAAATAAACTGCTTTATCGTCATTGCTGTCGCACTACACAAGTGCATTCTGATGATTATCATCACTTATTAGTGTCAAGAATAGTCAAATAGTGTAAAGAAGTATCAAACATATTTAGATCAACACAGTTTTATCACATTCGCAGTGAATTCCAACTCACTTAGTTATCAGCGCAAAGGTTGTGGCAAAACTTGGGAAAATCCACTAAACGTCAGCAAAATAAATTATATGATATATCAATTGAAAGCTCTTGAAATGCGCATTCACATAAAACCCAGAATTGCACAATTTATTTTGAATAGATAGTGGATGGCTGTTTTTGCTGTTATCGATGACGTCATCAATCACATGATACTGAGGCAAAATTATATTGGTCCCATCTTGGATTCTGAATCTCCATACTCGAAAGTATATAAAACCATCGAGATCATCTCGGTTTGATGAGAAATTAGATTTTCACAGCCATAGCCCTGCCTATCTAAGGCAAGAATGAAAAATTGACAAAAATATCACTGGAATATTATATATAAAGGAAAAAAAATAATTTTATCGTATCACTTCAATAAGCTAACCCTGAAGCTAACCCATATCTATTGCTGGTTTTGCGGTCTCCTGAAGTCTTTAGTAACTTGAGTGAAATTTGTGGTTCTTATTTACAGGTTAGAATGTCATGGACAAA